TGTTCAAAGCTGTATTCAAATGTAATTGATATAGCAGAAAGGCCTGTTAGCCCACTCGGCAGCGCACCCACAATAACTTAAGGTCGATATGATGTTATGTGGGAGGCCCCGACTCTGGGACAGGTTGACATTCTTTGTTTCAAAGCCTCCATCTTTTTCCCGTTTTATATTCAGAGCCTTCCGGGACTGGTGTATATATTCTGGTTCAACTAACAAGCCAGAAAGACCCGTTGGCGACTAGCAGCGCACCCACGATATCTAAACGTTCGGCATGCGCAAAGAATTATTTGGGAGGCCCCAGTTTGAGGTCATTCTGCGCTTTCTGCGGCCATTTTTTGTTCCAGGCTGTGTCATCTCATTTTAAGTCCAGAACCTCCGCTACATATCGTAGTTGACTCTTCCATGGATCCGGAGCGGCAATCTTGATCGCTTTTCTTTGCCGAAGGACTCGCTGGTGAACCGGGCATTATTACTTGATTTAAACATGCGAATAAGGATCTGTTGGCAAGGTCGGCAGTGCACCGACAATAAAGGGTTCCTGAGACCATTATATCAATACGCGGGAGACCCCAGTTCAACTCTGGGATAGGACCGTGTCTTTGGTTCCGGCTCATATCACTATAAATTCAAAGCCTTCAGCTACCTAATATATTGCGGTCCCATTACCAGAATCGAATCCTCATTTTGGTTGTTGGATCTATCCTTGTGACTTGAACCACGAGCTGTGTTAAACCGACACTCCGTTCCTGATTATAGATCTTCTGAAACTGGACTGCATCCTTTGCGCAAGCTTGGGGCTTCCGAAGCTTGAAATATCAAGAAATCAAGTTACCTGGAGTTAACAAAAACACTGTTTCTCAAATCTGGAACAGACCATTCAACCTCACATATATCGGCTAATAACAGACAAGAGAAATGCAATCGAACTTGAACATCTAAAACTGTTGTTGAAGAACCAGTTTCAATTATACGCTTATTTAGACTTCGTTCTTCCGGAACGTGTTCAGTACGAAGTCTTTGAGATCCCATCCTTGACTACCATCCATGAACTCCGCGCCTGGAGGTCATTGAACCATCTGTGCATCGGGTAATCAGTCCGCGGATGCGTGTAGAACAAAAACTGCCTACCTGGCGACGTTGGGGCCCTTGGTGGTCATAAGGTCACTGCCGGCCTTCTCCAACAGGGCGCCGTACGGAAGGTGGAACAAGTCGACGAGTGTCACTTCCTGTGGATATCCAAATGGATTATAAATGACGGGTTGCGACGGGACAGCGAATGCACGCACGTCTCCAGCAAGGTACTTTTGTTTCCCGAGAATGGCCTCGTACACGTCGAGCTTCGCAGAAAGTGTCTTGAGGTTCTCCTCAAGATTGGCCTTGTTGGTCTCCATACCCATCATGCTATAATTGACTCAGACCAAAGGCTCGGAACTAGCGACAGGCTTACGGTTTGAAAACGGCCTCGCTAACCGCCCTGGAGCTGAAAGGGTCGAAGTTCGAGTATTCATTAGATGCGGCCTGTTCAAAGAGCGCCTTTCCCTTGAGATCGGTGGGGACGAGCTTCGGGCCGTGGTTGGCATACTTGTCCGCGATGTAGCGACAGATGGCGCGACTTTCGTACAGAATGAAGCCGTCGTCATCCTACTCAGTACCTTCAGAAAGTGGCTGGAATTAAACGGGAAAAAGGCCGGCTCACGATGTATGGGACCTGCCCGAAGGGCTGGTGTGCTCTGAACTCCTTGGACTTGTGTTCGCCAGCCATAATATTTATACTTTGGAAAGTAAATGCGACCTTCTTTTCGATCAGGACAGTCGCAACACGCTTGGTGCAGGTGGAGTACGGGGAGCCAAATAGTTTGATGGTCATGGTTGTCTGGAAGAGGAGCGATGATGTAGATGAGGCGGATTAACCGCTACTTATATAAAAATGCTCGCAGGTTGAACTTTGATGTAAAGCGGGTTCAACGTCCTCATTTGATCGAAGATTCATTTAATGCAATTACTCATCGCCATTGGCAAGAATTGTTACGCGTTTTCACTGACTTACTAACCACGTCGTTACCAAGCCTATTATTCATTCAATAGGAAGCAATGCTGTGTCCATCCTCCGTTCCCAATTAATGTGGCCGTCGCGAAATATCAGTGAACTATCTTAGCTGTCATTATAGTCTAGCAGCGGCCGCAAGCGTGCAACCAAACGGGATGTGGAATACGTTTGTGAGCGTCGGCTCTTGCAGGGACGAATTTATTTGAACTGGGGAATAATCATGCATGCATGATGGTCCAGGTTTTATCATACCAATAGGACAGCTGCGACTGCTCCATGGATGAATGGGAGGTGGATGCTGGTTAGACGTGTTTACGGTCAGAGTTCCGTTTAACCGGAAAATTCGACAATTGGCCTAATAGCCGCTACGGATGCCTGTGAACTGAATTCTCGTGAAGCTAGAATCTATAACTGTCCGGTTAAACGGTTGAACGGCGAAATCGAACTTGAATAAACGGTTTGATATTTTTGTAACTACAACAATGCAGAATTGAGTGTAAATCTCAGACATCGGTGTCGTTGCATTGACCTTCACACCGCAGTTATCTGCACGGCCAGACTATGTATCGTATGTATTCTGTGTTCTAGTTGTTTCAGGTTGAATTGGGTTCAACCCTATGAACCGGTATTAATACTTTATTTTCAATGAGAACAGTGGCGACCCGGCGACCATAGAGTTTTGCGGGATATTTTTCGGAAGCGTGGGGTAAAAAATGGGGCTATTGTCCCATCGGAGCCAAATCAACCGGTTGGCGTGTCATGCAATATGACAAAATTCGCTTGTAAGGAAATGACCAAGGACCTCGAGGCAGGAATATGTGCGGGAGAGAAGTGAGCAACTGTAAGAAGCCATTGGATTCGCTGTCTTGGGCAGAAAAATATTTCTTGGCCAGGCGGAGTTGAGTGATGTTGCCGAACATCGAGTTCGCTTCACACATACGAGGCTGCACCGCTCAAGTTCAGAACCCGATAGCTTCAATTGTAGTTGCCCCTTGTGAAGTTCGGGTTTTGACGCTGAAATATTCGGGTTCAATTTTATATGGTAGAACGACCTGTTGACGCACTCGGCAGTGCACCCCCAATAAGTGAGTGGTTTCTAGTAAAATCCATTATGTGGGATGCCCCAGTTCGACTCTGAGAACCCTCCACTAATTATTATGGTTCGATTAATATGACAGAAAGACCCGTTGGCGCACTCGGCAGCGCACCCACTCTCGATTGCTTACTCATCTGGCTTTGTGTGGGAGGCCCCAGTTCGACTCTGGGATGGGTCATTCGAATTCGATATTGCCTTCTCCGCATTTTTGTTCCGGTCCTTTCATTATAAATTCGGAGTACATTGTAGTTCAATAAATATGAAGGGAAGACCTATTAGGGCAGATACCAGCGCGCCCGCAACAACTTCATATTTGGTTGAAGAATAATGTGGGCGGTCCCAGTTCGACTCTGGGATAGGTCATGTGTCGGAACTGCGGGAACGTTTTTGTCCCGGTCATTTTTTTTTAATTCAAAGCTATATTCAGGTTTAATTAAAGCAAAAGGACCTGTTAGCGTACTCAGCAGCGCACCCACAATAAGTGATTGGCTTGTATGTGGGAGGAACCAGTTGGACTCTGGGAAGGGCCATGACTTAATCGGAGAGGACCGTTTTTGTCTGTATTCAGTTTATTTTAAATTCAGAGCCATATATTTGGGTTCAATTAAGATACCTGGAAGACCCGTTGGCGCGCTTGGCAGTGCACCCACAATAATTTAAGGTTTCTCGATCCAGTTATGTGGGAGGCCCCAGTTCAACTCTGGGACAGGTCATTCGGCCTTTGTATTGAGCGCTTTTGTCTCAGTGCATTTTTTTTTCGTTCCGCGTCTTGTCGTTGGTCGTTCATCTGGGCTCGTTTAGTTGGGAGGAGGGTACGACGCCGAGAGAGATGCTGGAAGGATGCATACAGGAGAGTGCGATGTATTTTGTTTATTGATGGGGAGCAACTATTTGTTTGATATTAGGAGGCGGGCAGTAGGATAAATTGCACGCACGCGGGGGGAGTGCGGATCAAACAGCGGGAGTTAAGTATGTGAGTGTGGAGGTGTATCCACTGACAACGATGGAGAGGGCCGGCAGTGCAGTCTTTGACCGTTGACGCACGCTTTAAATGAACGGACCGGTTGTCTGGAGGAGCATTCTTGGTCGTCTGGTGTGGAATCTCCTGTTGGAGAGGAAGAGGAGCTCCAGATGGGAGGAAAAAGGAATTGATATCATTAGGGATGGAATTCTAGATTTTCTGCGCGCCGATTTTTGTTCCCTTCAGTTCATTTTTTTCAACCGATATTCAAATTTAATTGTTATAGCAGAAAGACCTGTTGGCGCACTCGGCAGCGCGCCCACAATAGCTAAACATCTCTGCACAGAAAAGTTATGTGGGAGGCCCCAGTTCGACTCTGGGATGGGTCATCCGGGGCTTTACTGTGCTCTTTTTTCTGCCCATTTTTCTAAAATTTGGACTCTGTATTCTTGTTTAATTAGCGAGAGAGAATGACCTATTCGCTTCGGCAGCGGCCTCTATCTGGACAAGAAGGTCATCATGTGGGACTCTGGGATGGGTCATGATCGATCATTCGCTTGTGAGCCTCCTTTTTTTTTTGATTCGGGGTCCTTTCATTTCATTTTGTTGAAAGCCCAGCCTACATTGCGAAAAACCTGTTTGGGCAGATGGTAGCTCGCCCACTAGAAATTCGATCTCAGCCCGCACTTCCAACTTTTTTTATATTATTTCGGGACTAATAAATCATCTCATTTTACTCAAGTGCACTCAATGTCATAATTCAACTTACACAGTAGAATGATTATGTGGGTTCGACTCTGGAGTCTGGGACAGGTCATCAGGAGAAAGTTGGTTTTTTCCCCCGCCAGTCACCACATATCACATTGGAAATGAGCTAAAGCGAGAACATCTCAGAAGGCCTACTAGCGCAGTCGGAAGCGTGCCCGTGCCATCTATCCATGGTGGAAGTGACTTACGGGAGATCCCGGGTTCGAACCCGGGACAGGTCATATCGCTTTCATCTGTGTTTTTTTTTGGTGTCGTTACGATTTTTTTCTTGTTTATGTCGATTCCTTTCTTCCACGGGCGGCGACGACACACGATTTGCCAGCGCTGGATTTTGTTGTCAACTCGCCATGCGCCGACGGCAGTTATGTACAATATGTACATACACTATTACTATTAGGTACCTCGTCCCCGCTATTAATTAAAACCCGTATTAGAGTACCCACACCGATATCCCGAACGAAACCGCGGCCGCAGACGCATTAAGTGTACCCGCATACTCCCGCCCTCCCATTACTCCCCTTCAGCGTGAAAGCTCACGGCCGTTCGTGCGGCCATTCATAAGGAGGTCGTGATCGCCAAGGCGGCGAGCGTACCCGAGAGGAATGCATAGAATATAATGAGGAATGCCCTCACTTCATCTTGAGCCCCCTTAGCCGGTTGACGACCTCGTTCATGCCCAGGCCCTGTGCCGCGCCACCCCACTCGCCGCTCCACCCCTGGCGCGACTCGCGGCGGTACGTCGTGCTCGTCCCGGGGCCCACGCCGCCGCGCCCCCCGCCATTATTCCAATTGCCGCTCGGCGCCTCGGCGAACTCGAACGTGCGGGAGAGAAATCGCTCGGAGCGCGTGCTGCGGGTGGTGGTAGAAGGGTGCGCGGCGGTGGAGGTGGGCGAGTGCGGTAAGGAGGGCACGCGGACCCACTCGTCCTCGCGCTCGTCGTAGGTGACGCGCGTGGGGAAGGGGTAGTCGTCGTGCGGGAACGCGGGGGAGGGCGCGCGCGAGCCCACGCGCTCGGCGCTGCTGGAGAATGCGGTGGCGTAGTAGGCGGGCGAGGGTGCGCGGCTGCTGGACGGGGCGGGGGACGGCGTGCGCGAGGCGTAGAAGACAGGCGAGCGCGGGGGGGAGAGCGAGGCGGTGGAGCCCCGCGCACGCAGTATGGAGGAGCCGCGCGAGGAGCGCGGGGTGTGTGGTTGTGGGCCGAGGCCGGCGAGGATGGCGGAGACGGCGACGGCGTCGGCGCTCGCGCGGCGTGGGCGGCGGTAGGGCGAGTGGGACTGGGGCTGCGCCTGGAAGACGAGCTCGGGGGGGACGTTCTGCCCCAAGGTGCGGGTGAGCTTGGCCATCTTGCGGCGGCGGTCGGCGGAGGGGTCGGACGGTGGGGTGTTGGGGCCGAAGGCGGGTGAGAGGGGCGAGGGGAGGGCGCTGATGGGACGGGAGCCGGGCGTGGAGGGGAGGCGCAGGAGGAGGAGCGGACGTGCGGCGGGCTCATGGGACGCGGAGGGCGCCTCGACGGCGGTGAGCGAGGAGGAGCGCGGGGGGGCCGCGGGGCCGGTGGTGGCAAATATGCGGCCGGAGCGCTTGGACTCGATGCTGCTGGTGGAGGATGTGTGGGCGTGGCCGCGCGGGCGGGGGACGGACAGCGACGAGGCGGATTCGACGAGGCTGGTGGAGGACGTGTGGGCATGGCCGCGCGGGCGGGGGACAGGCAGCAACGAGGCGGGTTCAACGAGGCGGGGGGTTTCGCCTAGGAGCGCCTCGAGCTTGCGGGTCGAGCGCATGAGGCGGGTGCGCTGCGTCTGCCGCAGGGCGTGCGTCGTCGGGGGCATATCCATCGTATCCATTTCCAGTACAGGGCTATTTTTAAAAAAGAAAAAGAAACTCGTCAAGAGTTGGCGGAAGGAAAGTGCTGGTGTACTGAAAGGAAAGAAGGAGGATGGATGGATGGACCCACTCGTCGAGAGTAAAAGGGAGACGGCGTGGAGCGGCGTGGTCGCCACGATAACAAAATGCCGGAAAATGGTGACATCGGCAAATGACCCAATCCCCATATGGAACAACACCCGAGTTTGTTTGGATCATCTCGCGAAGAAAAACGGTGCTGCAATCTGTGATCCTGTCATTCGCCTCTTCTTCTCTTGTTTTTTATCATACAACTGAGGAAGAAGGTTGGAAGAAGGGCCCTTGCGCGATACACATTCGTCTGGGCATTCCTCTCCCCGCACTACAGCCCCGACAGCCGCCACAAAACACCTTGCGGGAACGTCTGCCTCTTGTCTGCCTCTCAAGCGCAAATCTAGTCTTTCGTGATCCCATCTCATGATGTCAGTTTCATCCGCCGATTCGGCCCGATCGCGATGTCGCGCTACCACCCCACTGTTTCCTCGAAAACTCGAAAACCATGCAAGGATCCTCCTCAAGCTCGCGCTGAAAACGGTGCGCGTATCTGAGATCAAGTTCTCCCGTCCTCCAATCTCCTCCTCTTCGTGAACAAGAGATTCCACACCAGACGACCGGATATGCTCTCCAGACGACCGGGCATGCTCCCTCGTTTAAAGCGTGCGTCAACGGTCAAAGACCGCCATACGCTGCCGGCACCCGTCTATCTTGATTCTTTGTCAGTGGATACACCACCTGTTGAGTCGTCTTGTCAGTGGATACTTACTCCTACATACATGCATCCATACTTATTCCCGCTGCTTGATCCGCGCTGCGTGCAATTTATCCCCAAGCATCCATGTCCCCCGCCCTTCGTAATAAATAAAAAATAATTACTCCCCGCCCATAAACAAATTGCATAGCACTCTCCCAGCACTCTCGTGTATCCATCCATCATCCGTGTAGCCTTCTCTTGACCGCCGCGTCCAACCAAACGAACCCAAAGTGAATGCCCAACGACGCGGAACAAAAAAAAATGTCTCGAAGATCTATGACCCATCCCAGAGTCGAACTGGGGCCTCCCACATAGAAGTCAAGGTAACACGCAATTATTGTGGGCGCGCTGCCGAGTACGCCAATAGGTCCTTCTGTTGTTCGAATTGAACTGAATACACACGGGAGTTGTCCTGGTAGCAGATGAACGACCCGGAACAAAAAAATACGCGAGATATAATGAATGGCCCATCCCGGAGTCGAACTAGGGCCTTCCACATAATTCTTCTGGACAAGCCTTCAAGTTATGGCGGATGCACTTCCATCTGCACCAACAGGTCTTTCCTCATATTAATTGAACCATAATAAGCAGTGGAAAGTTTTGAATTTAAAATGAAACATCCCGGGACAAAAACGCTCTTCGCCGATCAGATCATGGAGTTGAACTGGGTCCTCCCACATAACTCTCTTCGTCAATATCGAATTATTGTGCGTGGGTGCCCTGCCATCTGCACCAACGGGTCCTCCTGGGAACCCAATTGAACCACGATACATAGCTCTGAATTTAAAATAAAACGACCCGAAACAAAAAATAGGATTGCCCCACGATCACGACCTGTCCCAGAGTCGAACTGGGGCCTCCCACGTAAATTCGCTAGATGTGAAAACATCAATTATTGTGGGTGCGCTACCGAGTGCGCCAACGGGTCTTCATGGTATCCTAATTGTACCGTATTAAATAGCGGAAGTGGAGGCTTTGAAATTAAAATGAAATGAACGAGCCGAACAAAAATCGACACGCGCAAGGTGTAGAATGACCCATCCCAGAGTCGAACTAGGGCCTCCCACATAGTTCTTCGAGCCAAAAGCTCTCAGATTATGGTGGGTGCGCTGCCATCTGCACCAATAGGTCTTCTTTCCTGTTAAATTGAACCAGAATATACGCAGCCGTGAAGTAAAAAATGAGCCACCCCGGGCAAAAAAAAGTGCTCAAACAGTGGCCAATGACCCATCCCAGAGTCGAACTGGGGTCTCCCACATAACGATCGCCTTGCATACCAAATTATTGTGGGTGTGCTGCCATCTGCACCAACCGGTCTTTCCTCATATTAATCAGCCTGAATATGTACGCTGGTGGGCCTGGCGGCAGAAGGCCTTGAGAAAAAAAGACTTGAACGAGCTGGACAAAAATAGATCAGTGAATAACCGGATGACCTGTCCCAGAGTCAAACTGGGGCCTCCCACATAACTCTCTTCGTAAATATCGAATTATTATGCGTGGGTGCGCTGCCATCTGCACCAATGGAGAACCTAATTGAACCACGATATATGGCTCTGAATTTAAAATGAACCAGCCCGGGCAAAAAAAATGCTTGCCGTGGATCAATGACCCATCCCAGAGTCGAATTGGGGCCTCCCACATAACTATCGTTGCGGGAACCAAATTATTGTGGGTGCGCAGCCATCTGCACCAACAGGTATCTTCATTGAACCAGAATATATACGGCAGTGGGAAGGCTCAGAGAAAAATGAAATAAACGACCCGGAGAAAAAATGTCTTAACGAATTCCAAGGAATGACCCATCCCAGAGTCGAACTGGGGCCTCCCACATACTCCCTTCGGGACAACGTGAAGTTATTGTGGATGCGCTGCCGAATGCGCCAACAGGTCTTCCTGGTATCCTAATTGTACCGTATTAAATAGTGGAAGTGGAGGCTTTGAAATTAAAATTAAATGAACCAGCCCGGGCAAAAAAGTGCTCAAAGTAGGTGAATGACCCATCCCAGAATCGAACTGGGATCTCCCACATACTCTATTCGGGAAAGCGTGAAGTTATTGTCGGTGCTCAGTCCGGATACTACATCATTCTCTGACTGTACTTTGTGCATTGTTTCGCATCCGACTTTCAATCATTTCGAATCTACCAGGAATTAATATCCGTGCAGAACTAGTGAATTGCGCAAACAAGACATTAAAATTCTCTTCAATAGTGGTGGCTGATCAGATGTTCATGTTTGGTGCCAGAAGCTTCCTTCCTGCTTCGCGCGCGCGCTTCACCACTTCATCCTCCTCGGCCAGCGACATCATGGAAATATATCTCCAAGCCTAATTCACATTCTAACCCTCTCTCCCGCAGGGCAGCGCGCAGGGCTCGAGAGACTGAGAGAAGAGATTTCCATCGGGAAATCTGAGATCGCCCTGCTTGAGAAACAGCAGCGAGAGGAGATTGCTCGGCTTGAGGAGAGGTATCGGAGGGAAAGAGCCTTCCGGGATGCGAAACATCGAGATTTGGAAGCAAAACAGCGCGAATGGGAAACCGCCCTCCATCGTGCCGTATTCCCGGTGCTCACCATCCCTCCTGAGATCGTCTCGCGATTTCATCTCTTCTCTTCCCGCCAATTCGCATCCCGAGCCCTCACCCACAACCGCGCCCCTCCTCGTCTCCCAGATATGCCGACATTGGCGGCACATTGCACTGGAAACGAGCGAGCTTTGGGCATCCGTGTATATATCAGCCGAAACGCGCCAGAATGCTTCAGAGTTTCTTGAGGCTTGGTTGCGCTGCGCCAAAGGCTTCCCACTGTCTCTGCATCTTAATCCAGATCCGACACTCGTTCCCTCCCCGGTTTCGTTCTTTGCGACATATTCGGCCCAGCTGCGTAGTCTACCGACGTCCAAGATCTTCTCGGGTTGCGCCCCAGACTTCCCATACTCCGTGAACTCCACATATATATTGAGGAAGAACTTGAAGATGATGTTGTCATTTTCAAGGATCTCCCCGGGGCCCGCACTGCTTGAGCTCAGCATCAGCGGTACCATTTCCACATCTAATCTCGGCACCTACCCGACCTTGACGAGGCTCGTGATTTTCGTAAATATTTCAGTCACGTACTTCCACGACGTATTGCGTGCCTTGCCAGCTTTCCGCAGAGTTTTCCCGCGACGACAACTCGCAACGCGATGTCGTCACCCACCGCACTCTTGAAATCTTTTATATCTGCAACGAAACCCGTCCGGTCGGCATCCTGGACTCGCTGAGCTTGCCAAGTCTACGAAAGCTAATGATCCCACAAGACCTAAATGTCGAAATCCTCATTCATTTCCTCGAACGCTCTTCGTGTCCTCTACGATACCTCGAAGTCACCACTGGCTTCGTTTTGGATGAATGACAGCAATGCCTCAATCTTCTCCCCTGTCTCGAGTCGTTGGTTTTTGACGGTCCATCCACATTCTTCGCAGCAGCAGCATCTCCACTAGTTGTTCCCCTCCTCCATGACCTCAAAGTCACAACTCTGGACAACGACATCGACTACAGCACTGTCGTCGAATTTTTAACTTCGCGGCGCGACACCTTTCACTCGCTTGAGATTAATCTCGAATGCGACTACCAGGCTACCATCAATTTCCATACCACCAATGTCCGGGTCGCAGGCATCGATGCACCTCTGAAGCACGGGGCTGAGATGTCTGTTGATGATAACTTTCAGCAGTGGATATACTTGGCAAAACCACTCGAGCGAAGGGTTTGTCATTTGTTTCTTGGGAGACACGCTGCTAAGGAATACATGAACAGATATTATTTCAGGTGCAGTGCAATGTCGGCAAGCAAATAATTTCCGTGGATATACCTGGCAGAGCGCATTGAGCCAAGGGTTTGATATTCAGTTCTTAGGAGATACAGTAGAAAGCTTGTTGTCAGCGTAAATACAGCTTCAGTTCAGCCCCGTTGAAGCAAGCCTTTGATATTATAAAAAAGGATACATACCGTTCGTCAATGCACTTTTTTTTGTCTCATCGCAAATTGCGCGATACCCGCAAAATATTCTGATTTCAGCGGAATATTGGGCAAAGAGTGGATACATTTACAGTATATTAATTAAATATTGTCACCCGACGTTGGAGATCCAAAGAAATCGGCGCACTATATATCTACTTGCATAGAACTGAAGTCAACGAAGACGAAGCCGCGGTAAGCCTCTTTAAGTTCTTAGAGTTCGGTCTTCAGCCGTTTGTAGCAAAGCTGGAGCGTCTGGTATTGCTCCTGCAGCTTCTCGCAACGCTCTCTCCACTTCTAGAATAATTGTTAAGCTGGAATCATGTACATAAGACGGGCTACGTACAGCTTCGGAGGGGCCATTCGGCGGAAGCTGGGGAAAATATGAAACTAGCCCGCGGCGATGAAAATAAACAATTACAACGAACCGCGGGCTTCTTGTTCAGCGCGATGATGAGCTCCTGGTTTTTTTCTGTACGTGCTTCGTATTACTATGGAAAGGTTGACAGATATATAAATCAACTCGGGGTGGTAGACGGTCGCACTGACCCGTTGAAGATCCGCGTGAGCCTGGGGAAAATATAAAATTGGGCCAGTAGCGATGGCAATAATGGTTGCAATGGACCGCGGGCTTCTTGTTCAGCGTAACGGCGAGTTCCTGGTTCTTTCCCTGAGTTCTTCACATTGTTAGAACAAGGTTGGTATAGAAATAAAGCAAAGGAGTGATAGACGGTCGAACTGACGCGCTGAAGATCTGAGCGAGTGTTTTTCTGGTTTTGATATTTCTTCTTCAGCTTCGCCTGCGCCTATGGGGTAATATGAAACCGTTTCCGAATTCACTTCGTAACTGTCAGGACGCACCTGGACAAATTTCTGCTCCTATATTGGTGTCGCAATATCGGTGAACGTTGACAATCAGCAGATATAATGGTCATACCGATTTCGTCACCTCCACCAAAATCTGGTTGAGTGTATCGATCTCGGCCTTCAACAATTCCACTTGCGCCGTGAGCTTGAACAATTTGTTTCTCTTCACCTATAAGAATATAATTGGTCAACACTATACTAGGAGAGGAATATTTAACGACTCGCCGTTTGGGCAGGAGCTATGGCGATCGGCTTGCAGACATGGCGGGCGTTTTCAGCGACCTCAGCATGAACGAGTTCCGCTCCGAGTTGCGCGATATACATCTGATAAACCAGGGGACGCACGGTTAACTCGCGAATTTTGGGCTTTGAGGGAGGCATTTTCAATAAAACGAGGCACGAGTTGATACCTTGTTGAAGCGTCTGTCTAGGAGAGACTAGGCATTTTCCTGTGGTGGCGCGTGCGTCGGTTCGGGATGTCGGTGGGCAGGGAAAGGGAATGTGTCGCTCACTGCTTTCAAGGCCCTCACAGATACAAGGAGTTCAGAAATAACGAGCTCGGGATCCATTGTAGAGTGAGGTGGGTCGAAGATGCTGAATGGAGTCGTTAAATAGCAGCAGAGTGACAGGGATTCTTGAGTTTAGAAGATGAACGGTTTTTTATGCAATTAATTAGGGAGCGAATAAATACCTTAACCGACCGCTCGCCTGTCGCCCGTCTGCCATAAATTAGCACGTTTCTGAATATATCGATACCGTTCTCCCCGCCGCGACTAGACTTCCAGAAATTGATGCGGCCATTATTTTACGCTGGGACAAAATGGACTTAAGGGGCCTTGAAGAAGAACCGCCGTTCGAATCCGAATAAGTATTGAACAAGTGCGTGGACACCACCCCGGATAGATGAATATGCACAGCCAGAAAATCGAAACATATTGAAGCACCATTATATTATATCTTCCCGGTCCATGTTTCCCGTTCTGCCAAGTGAGAGAAGTGGACCGGGAAAGAGGCCAAGTGCTGCGGTGGTATTCCAGTTGAAGTTCTAGGGGGATGCATGTAAAGACGAGTCCGTGTAAAAGTGCACAAGGCGAGTCGAAATTCGAGCCGGGCCGAAAGTAGTCGGAAGAAAACAGGACCAAAGGTCTAGTCTCGATTTAGGGTATGGGTTCCGGTGTGTCTTTTTCATCATTTTTCTGCCCCAGATTTTAAACTCCGCCCATACCCGAACATCTGGAGCCGTTATTATATCCCTAGGTTCGGATCAACCCACTCTCCGGACCGGATATCCGGTCTATCTCGGAGAGAGGCTTGGATCAAGATCGGCGAAATGGGCGGGATCTTTAAGACTCATTTGCGCCACTATTTTTTTTATATCCTCTACTTGATATGGGATAAAATATTCGTTATATGCCAGTGACTCATTCCCTCTAATCCAGATTCCCGTGTCATCAGTTGGTGTAAAGGTAATTGAGCCTTTCTCACGCTCTCTGCTGCTGGCAGCAAGCACTTGCCTCGAGTACTTTTGAGTAATTGGGATGAGACTTTTTATGGGCTCTATTGGATCAGATATTAAATTAAGTAAATTCAGCCTCCTCAAATTTTGAATAGCATTTTTACGACGCGTCAAAATAATTTGCGGAGTCGCCGCTAATTAGTGTCACAGTATGTCACATTGTGACTTGACGCGATCGATAACCCAACGACCTTCGTCCACCATGGCTACTCTGAAATTCGACTCTGAATACTGGGAAACTACCTTACCTGATGTCCTGGAGGACGTTAAGCAAAATTTTAAGCGATCGACGATCATTCCCAAAAATAGAAAATCCGAATTTCCGGTTGTCCGAATGCGGCCAAGATTCTGCTCAGCTCTCGTTTGGCGGAAAACTCACAAAACGGACCTTTAAAAGTATTCTGGACCAATCTAAGAGTGTTTCTCTCGACTTTTACCGCTCCAGTTTTTTATATTACTTCACAATTAGTGCACAGGAGTGAAATAAAAACGGGTTTTTAAAAAGCACTCGTC